GGTGCACAAAACACTAGAACCTGCTTTACCAAAACATCATGCAAATTTATTGCAAATGTATTCTAAACAGTTTTCGAGAATCTGAAATTATTGAACTCAGTTTACTTTTACTGACATAATCTATGATAAATAAATGGTTGATAATAATCTTTTGCAACTGCCTAAACTGATTGAAACGGACACTGAGACCGAATACATATTTTTATTAGAAACAGCAAAGAGAATTTATTCGTCAAATATATAGCAGAAAGCTGTCCTGTAGGGGAATCGCCATCACGAACTCTATTGTTGTTGGTGTTGTTATTATTGTTTGCTTGCTGCTGTCGCATACCTACGTTTTGTTGGTGCTTTTTTAGACTTCTTTATATAAACAAAGTATACTATTGTAGACTCGCTAATAGCGATTGTATTGCAAATGGCAACATATAGATGCTGCCAAAAGGATGCCAGAAGCATGTACGATGCTGCTATAGCTGCGGCAAATAAAACACAGCACACGACCAATAAAGCCAAACGAGATCCGCTTACATCCGATCGGTATAGCCTTCGTTTAAAGATATGCATATAACGATCTGCTGCTATACAAATCAGTAACGCACCTGATGTGTAGGTGAAGACATTGGCCATGAATTGTGCTGCTTTCAAGGCTTGATATTCTATTCTTTGTATCGAGTCCACAGCAAAGACTGGAAACACAATAACTCCCAAGCATAAATCAGAGCCACTCATTGCCAGTATCAGCTTGTTTGAAAAATTGTTTAGCTGCTTTGGTCGATGTAAACCATATATTAATAGTGAATTTGATATGATGTTCAGAAGGGAAATCAGAACATATCCAGCAGTTTTTAAGATTATTACGTACATGTTTTCAATTTTGCTACCAGTGTGAGCAATTGACGGATGTCTATAAATCAGCTATCGATCGATTCGTTGCTTTCAGTTTCTTAAGTTAATGAATTCAAATAGGAGAAAATGGAGGTTATGGTCTTGTGAGAGATTTAACGTCCTACCTCAATCATTGTCAACAGCGAAAACTGTCGCTTGAAAACATTAAGTAGAAAGCACTTTGATTTTCGGGTTTCTTTCATATAACTTGTTTACTTGTTATTTTGTAAATGGATTGCAACTTCTCAAACATTGCTTTAACAGTTTTTTGAGCTCATTTACTCATAGTTAATAATCAGAATTACTTGTCCCTTCTTGCACAGCGCAATATTCTAAAATGGCCTTCTTTTTTTCTTTGTTTGCATTTGAGTCGTTGGTGGTGAGCAAATCATAATTGAATGCATCAACAAGATAATTTATTAGACCGTATTCTTGTTTTAAGGAAGCAAGAGCTACCTCTATTACATGAAGATACTATAATTCGTTGTCAGAGAAATCAATTGGAGGAAATCCTGAGCCCTCTTGCTCAATAACTCTAGATTTCTACCCAGAATGTGCCTTTTTAGATCTGCTTCCTTCTCTTTCATTTGAAATGCCTACGATTAGCTTCCAGAGTTTTTGAGTCATGACTGCATTATGTTGATGTCTTTGGCTACCAATTTTCATTTATTTCAAGACTCTCATAGTCCTTATGCTATGATACTGTGTGGTGATGTCACTGCTGTAACAAACTCCCAATATTCCACTGACCTCCAAATAACCATCAAATGGCTTTATCAAACGCATTCAGTTGATCATAGGTCCAATAGGAAGATTTTAAAACAACTGTCAGTTCAAAGATTTGCACTTTTCATTTCTTCCAGAGTAATAACAGCTTAATTTTATGATATTTTTGGCATGAAATGATCGATCGTGTTTATTTATGTTACATTTACACTGTATAATTACACTAAACTTGATTTTGCAACAATCAACTGAGATGCAAAGGATCATAAGAATTTTCCTTCTGACACTTTTCAGAGTATAGAACGTCAGAACATAGATCAAGAACTTTATGCTAGGAAAAATATCGACCCAGTTGTGGATCGAAATAGGCCAATCAGAAACGCGACCACATGACTGTTGAGGTTGCCCAATCAATGCAGCTTGACTATTGAAAATGTTACCAATGGAGTCCTAAGGGGAACACGGTCTCCTTCTGTTAACACAAAAGTGGGTTTTTCATGTTTATGTAGATATAGACTGTTTCCTATTCTGTTTCTAATACTTCCATCCGTCCAAAAGTGTTCCGCTATCCATGAGTTTACGTGCCAGAGTGATTTTGGCTACCTAGGACGGACCACCCAAAGATTGGGGGATAGAATAAAACAGCATGTCTCTTTCAGCATTAGTAACAAAGCTCTTCCCCAAATAGAGCAGCCTCGTCGGTCTTGCAGATAAAAAAACTAGTAAAAAATGCGATTTCGCTATTGGGAAGCCAATTGGGCAACCTAAACAGTCATGGGCTCGTGTTTCTGACTGGCCTATTTCGATCCGCAACTAGATATATATATATTTCCTAGCGTTAGGCTAGTAGCGTACAGTTATCAGTCTATGTTCGGATGTTTTATACTCTGAAGAGTGTCAGACGAAAAGCTTCATTCAGTATACTCAAATGTTTGCTTTCTTGAAAGCTATTTTCAAAGTGATTGTCAGAAATAAAACTCGAAGATTAAGCTTGATTTAAGATGTTCTGAAATAGATACATTTACATCTGTGACTGTCGTTATCAGAATAAGTTTGCTCGAAAATTTTCGTAGTTTCTTTGATTTGTGCAGTGTGGAAATGAAAAATTAGCCATCTTGGTTCTAAAGAATATGAAACACTTTTGATGAGAGTTCAATTAAGTGATTGGTTAGGGTTCTCCTCCATTGGCACTAATGCTGATAAAAATTCTTTCTCAATCACGGGGAACCACTGCGCCACGAAATAGCGACAAAATGGCTCGCTTGCATCTTGTGTTGCCGTAAATAATTATCACAGAATTGATGACAGTTGATCCTTCTACTAGAAAAATACATGTAGCATAGAGAATTCGAAAAATTTCACCTGGTTGTGATTTTAATTCGAACGTATAGAATTTGCCAATAGTTGCAATGACAGTATAGGGCAAATAGCAAATGAAAATGGCCACCAACACTAAACGGATGGTTCTCACGGAAGAAAATTGCCCTGTCTGGGAGTCACCATTCACAACTCTTCTGTTGCTGTTGCTTAGGCTGTTGTTGTTAAATTGTTGCAGTCGCGTCTGGGCGTTGATTTGGTGCTGTTGGAGATTTCTATACATTATAGTGTATAGAATGGTCAGTCCGAGCATTAGGGAAATGCTCAAACTAGCAACTGCTACATACTGCCAGAAGGACTCTAGAAGTATATGCGTTATTGTAAAAACAGAGGAAATCACGAAGCAGCCCATGACTAGAACAACGAGTCGACGTCCGTTTAAATGAGATTGGTATAGCCTTGGTTTAGTGATATGAATATAACGGTCAACAGCTATACAGATCAATAACAGACCTGAATTTACGGTCAAAAAATGTGTGAGTAAGTAAATTGTTCTTATAATCCATGCATCCAGTGTAATTTCTGGCAGCGAATGTAAAGCCTGGACAGGTAGAACAAGAACTCCAATGCATAAATCAGAGATGCTCATTGACATTATAAGCTTGTTGGAAACATTTTTGAGCTGGTTGGATTTATGTAGTCCATAGATCAGCAAAGAGTTTGATGTGATGTTCAAAAGAGAGAGGATTATAAAAGCAGCGGAGATAAATATAGCTACGTACCAATTTTGCATTTTCGTAACTCTGTTGAGATGATACTGGAATTCTCTTTGATCAAGCTGTTTCGAATTTTCTCAATCTGATAATATTGTCTTGCTGCAATTGTTTATAAGTCCAAACTATTCAAATAAATATCAAAAATGAATCGCTCTTGACAGTCGGAAGCCAGGAAATTTTACTTCACCGCAACACATTTAGTGAAAATGTCGTAAAATTCTCGTGCTAACATCGCATACGGTCATTATGAAGACGAGTTGGTTCGAGAATGTTCGAAGCTGTTTTGATTTGCACAGTGCGAATATCAAAAGACCGTTTGACCTTATGTCGACAACTGCGAATAGAATCATAAAGCAACCAACTAGAGTTTTGCTAAGATTTCCACGACCGTACCATTTTCACCAACCATGTTTGTCAAAGCACTTTCCTTTTACGTATTGAACAAACCAATGATATATTTTTTCATTTTTTTGGCCAATCAGTCCCTTATACGTTTACCTTTGCACAAAGTAAACACACTTTGTCCGATTTCAATTGAATTTGCCAAATTAATATTTTTCCATTTCCAGATGTCCTATATCAACACGTGAAATTTTGTGCTTTTTGCTATCTTTCTAGAAGCCTTTTGCTAACAGTGTCCTTTCTTAATACAAAAATATCATATTTTTTAGACCAAAAAGCCAATTCAATGTTCTTTATTTACACTCAACATGCAGCAATAAGAAGAATCTTTTTAGAAGTCTTTGGACATTGCAAACCGCCTTTTATCATTTTTATGACAATAACCAAATTTCCACATTTGAATCAATAAAAAACATTTTAGGGGGTTGTGGTGGCACAACATTTGCCGTTTAAAAAGCAGACACCGCCAATCAATCGTGTCAACATACATTCACGCAATCGTTTTCAATTTTTCTTTTCTACTCAATTCAATTCAGTGCAATAAATGTTCCTGTTAATATATGAAACTCAAATTAAAACATCTTTAGACTTCTTATTCTCTTCAAGTAATATATGAAAAGGCTAAAAGAGCTATTCCTGATTGATGTTACAGTCAATTTCGTTGGCCCTCTTAATAAGAAACAAAGATGAACGTTGACTACTCCAGATTATGAACGCTTTGGAAAGTTTCAATAAACAACGTTTTTTAAGAGTTTATTTATCACGACATAACTAACTTGCCGACCACTCCCTTTCTTTTGCCTACTTTTTGAGCGACGCCATTTTCCCACAAACGCACTAGAAGGCAATTTCATTTTTCTTGATATTGCAAATAACGTCTCAACTAGAGCAACTTGTCATACAAGAGGTCATTAAACTTTTAAAAGTTTATTCAAAATATCAACATATTCGAAACTTCGTTACTTCGTAACTAAATAGAAAAAACAATAAACTAAAAGTTTCAATGACTCTAAAGATTCATTAAAAAGGGCCTAAGTAATTAATCTTTGACCTATGAAATGTATTGTTATATAAGATAAAATTAAACAGTGAGATTCTGCAAGACAAGGCATTCTCGGCATAAGAGACGGTAGAGCAAACGGTTGGAGAATTCCATATAAAAACTGAAGAGTGAGATGCCTAGTGAAAACAGTGAAATGACTCTGTGCCTGACGATATTCGCTAACAGTGATGGAAATCTGTGCACAACTCTCGTTGGATCCATCACGGTTCTCTTTGCATTTATAAACATAGCATCAAATGCTCTGTTAATTTTTGCAATGTACAAATCAAAGCAGATCAGGACACATTCAAACAAATTTCTTCTTATAATGACAATATCCGATCTGTGCACCGGAATCTTTGTAATGCCAGGATTAGGAATATTTTGGATCGCTGGAAAGCAACGAAGTTGTCTTGAAGTCCAGATTATGGAATTTCTGATGATGTTTTTTGCATATATGTCGATTTTGATGATCGTTTGCATCTCGGTCGATCGATACTTCCACGTGACAAAGCAAGTCAGATACCAAGCCTGGATGAACCGTTTCCGATTTTCCCTCATAGTAGCAGCATTTTTAGGAGTCGGATTTGTAATGGCGATGCTCTCCATAAGTTTATCTTCATTCTATCTAGTGGTTGCGATGGTTATTTTCAAGTTACTTCAAGTTTTATGCCTTATCATTTTCAACACAAGAACTCTTAGAATCCTAGAACGTCACCAAAGAACAACTGTATTACGACTGCAAAATGGGAGCCAAATTGCTAATGGCATGCAAATTGTCCCAAATGAGAAACTCCGTGCTATTAGAACGATTCGCTTGGTATTAGCAGCAGTTTTGGCCTGTTATCTTCCAGTCAACATCGCAACTATTGCTTGGACTTATTTTAAGTTCAACCTACATATCAAGCCAGGTTTCACATTAACGGTGCTATATGAGTGGACAAAGCCAATCATGTTTAGCGTGACATTTCTCAATTCTTTGATAATATTTCAAGGAAATAAGAAGATTCGTCGAACATTGTCGTCCATTTTCAGAAAGGACAGAGTTGATCATGAATGAAAAACTACATTATCTATTCTTTTTTTAGGCTACACGCACCACTACTAACGATCAGAACAAATCACAATCAATTAACAAGACTAGTTCTGAAGGCAAATATGATTCCCTTCATTTTATTGTTCGTGCTTAAATTTTGGCTTCTTTGGATTTTGATTTTATGTCAGCAAAACCATCTTCATTAAAAGTGCCTTAAGTCTAACGATATCTACTATGAAAACATATGTAACGTACGTAGATTTTCTAATTACAAAACGATCTCTTCTGGTTTTGGTTTTCGTTCGGGCTTTAAAAGCTCAACTTCTTATCTTCATCTATGCGATGGGAATTGGATACAAATTTAGACTGGTCCTTCATCATAATCTTTAAGCCTTAATGCTCACGCATTGCAAAATTTATGTTAAAATTCTATATACAAAATAATTATGATAATTTTTTTTCTTTCCGCAAAGATGGCGGGAAATAGCAGAAATATTGCATGCTAAAGCATTTCTTCTACAAAATTCCTCTATGTATAAAAATCGGATAGTGACTGAAAGTATGCAGAAAAAACATACCCTAGTGTGAATCGATGGTAACGTAAGAGGGAGACAGACATGTTGGATTGGCCTCTTGTTTTGGCCAATCACATCCGCTACCGTATTTCACAGCGTATCGGGTGTATAAGTTGACTCTTATTAGTGACAATACTTGAATTTTAGCAATAACCTGGCACAAAGCCGAACACAAAACTGGCTTTCTTCAATTTGAGACACAATATTAAGAAATTAAGCAATTTTTCTTTTTCAAAGTTCAAAGATTATTCTTCTCATTTTGCGTTTTGGAACAAAAATCACGACTCTCACGAGACAAGGCTTTCCAATGAAGATATTTGTGTACATATAAAAATATTTTTCTGCATTACGTTCTTGTAATATTCACTTATGAATACGATGTCAGTTTTTTAAAAAACTGAAGAAAATCGGTAATCTCTCAAAGGGTTGAAGAGCCTAAAAAAGAAAGCTGCCACTTTTTCCGTCTACGCAATTTGGAATCCTTTGTTCTGATTGACTCAACAAAGATTTAGAGGAAACATAACAATATCTATTGTTGTGTTTGGCTAAAAGCTATTTTGTCTGACACTCCGCAGAGCAAAAAAGGTCAGAATAAGGGTCCGAAAGAGCACGATGGAAAATGTATACCTAGTTGTGGATCGAAAGGCCAATCAGAAAAACGCAAGCGGCTTTTTCGGCTGTATGAAGATCGATTCCAAAACTGCAAGATGGAAAGATGACCGGGCTCGGCCAAGTATCTGAAACATGTCTTCATTATAAAGATTGGCACAATCTGGGCTATCCAAAAGATGTTGACCGATGGCAGAATCACTTGTTTTAACGGCGTTCCTACAAGATCGAGGAGGCTGTTCGCTTTGTAGGGCAGTTTGGTTTCTTATGTTGGAAGAACCTGTCCTATCCGCTATTGTGTAGACCGAAGGAGCTCGGTTTCTCTCTTGGACTCCAGTGGTAATTTTTCTTTAGGCATGTGGCACTGATTGGACAACTTTACCGGCCTTGCACTTGCGTTTTTAGATTGGCATATTTCGATCCACAACTGGGTTTATATTTTCCATCATGTTCTTTCGAACCCTTATTCTGACCTTTTATGCTCTAAGGAGCGTCAGACGCAAACCCTTTTAGCCAATATGTTTTAGGCAATAAAATTTTTGCTTTTTTAAAAACAAAAGCTTTAGAAGGTGAGAATTTCTACTTTTATCTCCGGAGATTAATCTAGAATTAACAGTGTTAAACTGCCTACGATGCTAATAAATGCCACTGGAGAAATGATTAATTTTCTCTGTATAATCAAGATACCACAAGCCATTGCCATAAGATAGTGTTTATGATACAATATCTACATCTCTTTGAAACGACGTGACTTATTTTAATGAAACTACATTCCTTTTTATTGTAAAATATCATAAGTGGGACCAAGGATCTTGTTTATGCATAGTCTTCATTAGAACTTTGCCTTCACATGTCTGTGGGCAAAGGCGTACGACAAGATTGTTGGTGAATAGTTGGGAGAGAGTGAAGTCTTGAATTTTTTCTTGCTATATTCTTTTGCACTCTTAGAAAGATTGGATTCCCTTTTAAGAATAAATTCCAATATTGGCAGAGACCGCCGAGGCGGGGAGGTGGAGGTTTGGCGATGGAGGGTCTTGGTGCTGTAGGACGCTCCCCATGTCACAGGACTCGTTGTAATCACGTGACAGACACTTTATAATCCGCAGTTCTCTAATTCCCTAGTCAGTTATCTTTGTAACCTCGTTCAATTATAATTCAAGATATGAAAATGTAAAGAGTGTGTTTTCTTTGTTCTATCATAGAAACAATGTAATTAAAAGAACCTCTCACTGGGTAGGGGTTGTATCTAAAATGTACTTAAAACAATACACAAAATCAACAGGCTCTTGTTTTTAAAATGTTTACCCTCTCAAAGAAAGCGTTTTAGTTCCCTCTGAAATAATCTGAAATATGCACCTCGGTCCTTGATTATTTGGGCATGCTTAATTCTCACAAGGGAATATTGGAGCATTCTTAATTCCCAAAACTAAAGATGGATTGTACGGTCGTGAAAAGGCGCGTACATGAGAATACGATGCTGGCATGATAGTGCCAGGGCCTAGTTGAAGGAAAGATGTTCTAACACTGTTTTGTTTCGCATGTTGATAAAGATACATTTTTCTTCTTGCTTGGTCGACAAAATAACCAAAAAAATTAAAGAACACGCAGTGAAATGTAATCGATCTTTGCTTTACTTGATGGTGAGTGCATTCTTTTGATATTTTTATTCTTTAGTAAATTTGCGACTTTGGATTGTGTCTGTTGGCTACACACAAACATACGCCATAATAACAATTGGAAAATCGTGGTACTTTCTCGTATGTTTTGGTGATGCTTCAGGGATGACTCTCCAGGCCTTTCGCTTTACGAATCGCTCGTGAGACATGTTATATAATTTGGTTATGTCCTGACAAGAAACAAATGGGAATTAACTCATTGATGAAATAAACGCTTTCGTTCACTGGCTTTTTGGGCCAAGGATTTTTTCTTTTGTTGCCGTAAACTTTTATCACAGAATTGATGACAGTTGATCCAATCATTAGAACTGCATTAACCAGGCAAGCAGCCAGGCAAGTTACCAACTTTAAGGCCTATCCATCAATCTAAAAAATGGAAGCACTTCAGCAAAAATTCAATGTAAATAGTATTCTTTTTTCTTATCTCGAGCCAAAATTCTCTTAATTTAGCTAATGCCATATACATTATTGAAGAAGAGCGGATTTTTAAGCAAAAGTAAGCAAATTTGAATTTGTCGTAACTTTAACTTAACGAAAAAAAAAACTCACTAAAATAAAGTGATGCAAAACACTCAGGGCAATTCAGGGCAATTCTTTCGCGTTCAAAACCACTGGTTCTTTATTAGAATCATACGAAGGACGTGTATCACAACAATATTTCACGCAGTGTTGCGGCGAATGGATAAAACAAATCTCATACTGATCTAGAATGTTTAAGATTATTTTAGCTTGATCAAAAATGTGAATCGACTTTTCAACATAAAGCTGTTTGGCATCTTCCTTTATGCAGCTGCCACCACCATTTTACGAAACATTGACGTAATTGCTAGTCGGCATCTTGAATTGCCGAATATTATTATAACGGAATTTATTCCGCTTGCAGAGAATGCCAGCAAAGTACTTGATGTAAACAGCATTTGCAAAATTTATCTTTGTTGAAGTTTTAATTTGAACTTATCAAATGACCAAACGGTTGAAATGATGTTGTGGGCCCATAACACAAGAAAAACGCCACCAATACCCAACGAATTGTTCTTACAGCAAGAAGGCTGTCCTGTGGGGGGATCGCCATCACGAACTCCATTGTTGTTGCTGTTGTTATTGTTATTTGCTTGCTGCTGTCGCATACCTACGTTTAGTTGGTGCTTCTTTAGATTTCTATAAATGACGAAGTATGCAATTGTAGACCCGCAAATAGCGATTGTAGTGCAAATGGCAACAGCTAGATGCTGCCAAAAGGATGCTAGAAGCATGTACAATGTTGCTATAACTGTGGCAAATAAAACACAGCACACGACCAATAAAGCCAAACGAGATCCGCTTACATCCGATTGGTATAGCCTTGGTTTAGTGATATGCATATAACGATCTGCTGCTATACAAATCACTAACGCACCTGATGTGTAGGTGAAGACATTGGCCATGAAAAGTACAGCTTTCAAGGCTTGATATTACGTACATGTTTTCCATTTCGCTACCAGTGTAAGCAATTGACGGTTGTCTACAAGTCAGCTATCGATCAATTCGTTGCTTCCTGTTTCTTCAGATCTTCAGAAATGAAAACGTCCGTTTGCTCGTTGGAGGTTATGGTCTCGTGAGAGATTTAACGTCCTACCTCAATCATTGTCAACGGCGAAAACTGTCACTTGAAGACATTAAGTAGAAAGCACCTTGATTTTCGGGTTTCTTTTATATAACTTGTATACTTTTTATTTTGTAAATGGATTGGAACTTCTCAAACATTGCTTTAAAATTTTTTTTAGCTTTTTTACTCATAGTTAATAATCAGAATTACATTTCCCTTCTTGCACAGCGCAATATTCTAAAATGGCCTTCTTTTTTTGTTTGTTTGCATTTGAGTCTTTGGTACTGAGCATGTCATAATTGAATGCATCAACAGGATAATTTATTAGACCGTATTCTTGTTTTAAGGAAGCAAGAGCTACCTCTATTACATGAAGATGCTATAATTCGTTTTTCTGAGAAATCAATTAGAGGAATTTCTGAGCCCTCTTGCTCAACAACTCTAAATTTCTACCCAGAATGTGCCTTTTTAGATCTGCGTCCTTCTCTTTCATTTGAAATGCCTACGATTAGCTTCCAGAGTTTTTGAGTCATGACTGCATTATGTTGATGTCTTTGGCTACCAATTTTCATTTATTTCAAGACTCTCGTAGTCCTTATGCTATGATATTGTTTGGTGATGTCACTGCTGTAATAAACTTCCAATATTCCACTGACCTCCCAATAACCATCAAATGGCTTTATCAAACGCATTCAGTTGATCATGGGTCCAATAGGAAGATTTTAAAACAACTATCAGTCCAACGATTTGCACTTTTCATTTCTTCCAGAGTAATATCAGCTTAATTTTTGACATTTTTGGCATGAAATAATCGATCGTGTTTATTTATGCTACATTTACACTATATAATTACACTAAACTTGATTTTGCAACAATCAACTGAGATGCAAAGGATCATAAGAATTTTCCTTCTGACACTTTTCAGAGTATAAAGCGTCAGAACATAGATCAAGAACTTTATGCTAGGAAAAATATCGACCCAGTCGTGGTTCGAAATAGGCCAATCAGAAACGCGACCACATGACTGTTGAAGTTGCCCAATCAATGCAGCTTGACTATTGAAAATGTTACCAATGGAGTCCTAAGGGGAACACGGTAGCCTTCTGTTAACACAAGAGTGGATTTTTCATGTTTATGTAGATATAGACTGTTTCTTATTCTGTTTCTAATGCTTCCATCCGTCCAAAAGTGTTCCGCTATCCATGAGTTTACGTGCCAGCGTGATTTTGGCTACCTAGGACGCACCACCCAAAGATTGGGGGATAGAATAAAACAGCATGTCTCTTTCAGCATTAGTAACAAAGCTCTTCCCCAAATATAGCAGCCTCGTCGGTCTTGCAGATAAAAAAAGCTAGTAAAAAATGCGATTCCGCTATTGGGAAGCCAATTGGGCAACCTAAACAGTCATGGGCTCGTGTTTCTGACTGGCCTATTTCGATCCGCAACTAGATATGTCTATATTTCCTAGCGTTAGGCTAATAGCGTACAGTTATCAGTCTATGTTCGGATGTTTTATACAATGAAGAGTGTCAGACGAAAAGCTTCAGTATCCTCAAATGTTTGCTTTTTCAAAGCTAATTTCAAAGTAATTGTTAGAAATAAAACTCAAAGATTATGCTTGATTTAAGATGTTCTAAAATAGATACGCTTACATCTCTCTCTGTCGTGATAAGAGTAAGTTTGCTCGAAAATTTTCGTAGTTTCTTTGATTTGTGCAGTACGGAAATAAAGAATTAGCCATCTTGGTTCTGAAGAATATGAAACAGTTTTGATGAGAATTCAACTAAGTGATTGGTTAGGATTCTCCTCTATTGGCACTAATGCTGATAAAAATTCTTTCTCAATCACGGGGCACCACTGTGCCACGAAATAGCGACAAAATGGTTCGCTTGCATCTTGTGTTGCCGTAAATAATTATCACAGAATTTATGACAGTTGATCCTTCTACTAGAAAAATACATGTAGCATAGAGAATTCGAAAAATTTCACCTGGTTGTGATTTTAATTCGAACGTATAGAATTTGTCAATAATTGCAATGACAGTATAGGGCAAATAGCAAATGAAAATGGCCACCAACACTAAACGGATGGTTCTCACGGAAGAAAGTTGCCCAGTCTGGGAGTCACCATTCACAACTCTTCTGTTGCTGTTGCTTAGGCTGTTGTTGTTAACTTGTTGCAGTTGCGTCTGGGCGTTGATTTGGTGCTGTTGGAGATTTCTATACATTTTTGTGTATAGAATGGTCAGCCCGAGCATCAGGGAAATGTTCAAACTAGCAACTGCCACATACTGCCAGAAGGACTCTAGAAGTATTAGAGTTATTGTCAATCCAGAAGAAATCACGAAGCAGCCCATGACCAGGACAACGATCCCACGTCCGTTTAAATGAGATTGGTATAGCCTTGGTTTAGTGATATGAACATAACGATCGACAGCTATACACATCAGTAACAGACCTGAATTTACGGTCAAAAAATGTGTGAGTAAGGAAATTGTTCTTATAATCCATGCATCCAGTGTGATTTCTGGTAGCGAATGTAAAGCCTGGACAGGTAGAACAAGAACTCCAATGCATAAATCAGAGATGCTCATTGACATTATAAGCTTGTTGGAAACATTTTTGAGCTGGTTGGATTTATGTAGTCCATAGATCAGCAAAGAGTTTGATGTGATGTTCAGAAGAGAGAGGATTATAAAAGCAGAAGAGATAAATATAGCTACGTACCAATTTTGCATTTTTGTACCAGTGCTGAGTTGATGCAGCAATTCTCTTTGATCAAGCTGTTTCGTGTTTCTTTAATCGAATGAAATTATTTTGCTGGATATGTCTATAAGTTCACAATTTTAAAATTATCAAAAACAATAATTCTCTCTTTGACAGTCGGAAATGAGAAAACTCTCCTTCCCTGCAACGCTTTGAGTGAAAATAACGTTCCTTTTAAAATAAACGTCTTTTAGATTCCTTTTTCCTTAACATGCCTCTAAAGATCAGCTTTGAAAAGATCGGATTTGAAGAGATTAGATTTTAAGAGATCAGGGTTGATTATCTCTAGCATTGGGTTTGTTTAACTAATTAATTTGAATTTTTAATTCACGCGGAAAATAAGTTTTTCGACTTTTTTTTAATTACAAGAAGCAGAAGTACGGAAATTCTAATTTGTTTGTCACCAACAATTTGTAATTTGTTTGAAATCAGCATTTAATGTTTACCCTGCTACTACTGTTTTAAAAAGATTTGAAAATCTCAGTTTGGTCAATTCATTTTGAAGCGTCCCTGAAACCTTTTAATTAGCTCAGATCTCCTTTTTTATCTCAAGAAGTTAATTAGCTTTTGTTAATTTCTGCCTCATTGATTATATTTTTGCCTTGCAAATGCTT